GCTCGAGGGGAGAGGGGGGGGAAGGGAGGGGGCTGGGGAGGGAGATCCAAGCAGGACCAGCCATGTAAGTGTCCCGATATTGGGGTTTAGGACGTGGCTCTCATTTCCCCGGGCACAGAGAATGATGGGGCACAATGGACTCCAAAATACAGACACAAGGAGAGGCCACACGCATCCACACGCGGTAAAGCCCCGCCATCCCCGCCTCCCCTCGCCTTTTTTATTGTTTGTAGGATGCAGTTTTAAAATACTCTTTCTCCTCCTCTCTCTTTCTCTCTCTGCTAGCTCCCTCCCTCCCTGCCTCCTGGCCTCCCCACGCACACACCCCCTTCAAACTACCAGCCAGACCAACGTGTCATCGAAATTGTTTCACTTTTTAATTTCGACCTTCTCCCTTGTCATCTCTGTCAAGACCCAGGAAGCTGGCGAGTCACTCTACAGCTGGCGTAATTAAACCCTCGCCGGCTTTAGGACCCTTATTCACATGGCGTTAATCGCGATAGTAATCCCGAGGCACTAGTCCCGCAGGCCGGGGAGCATCCAGCCCGGGGTTTTCCACCGAGGAGACGAAGGGGGGAGGGGGGACACCAAGTCAATGGCGAGATTTCTGCTCGCAGCCCCGCAATAGCCGCCCCGGCCTGGCAGCCGTCTCAAAAAAAGACCAGATTCACATCCAACGCTTTCCAGGCACCCTTCCCCCGGGGTGTGCTCACGCCTGGGAGCGCGGCGGGGCAGGAGGATGCGAGCACATCCTGCGGCGGTTGTTGGGGCTGGCTTTTTTGTTGTTGTTGTTTAAGTTGCAATTGTAGGGTGGGGTATTTTTTTCCTTTCATCCCGGAAAACCCGAGCCACCCTAGATCCCGTTCAAGCCTGCGACCGGCAGCGCTGGCTTTTAGAGACTGCAGAGCCCGGCGCGCAGGAGCCCGGCCAGCCTGTGCGCAGCCGCGTTAATTAGCCTCAGCGCCTCCACACCTCCCCGCGGCCGCCCTGAAGTCCATTACCCTTCGCAGTCCCACTTACTTGGATCGATCTGCGGTTTCTCTCCGTTTGCCTCACTTTCCCCATTGCTTTCAGAGAATGCGCCTTCGTGGCTTTGCTTATCCCTATCAACTGGAGGA